GCATGTCAACATATTCTGTTACACCAAATACACAAAATAATGATCTTTAAAAAAGCATCATATGACCCCTTTAAATAATTTCTTAATAATATAATTTTAATAATATAAAAATAATTAAATTTAATATATTTTACAACACCACAAAAAAAAAATTTTTCAGTGCAGATGAGGTGGAGGAGTTAATCTGTTTGGTCAGTTCCTCAAATGGTGCCAAAACAGTGACAGTTTTTTCCAGCAAAGCCCACTGGTTGGCTGTCAATGTGTCTGGCAGGTCTTGATCAGCGCCGTATGCTGAAATCGGCTGCTTCTGCTCAAGTAATTTCTCTACCATATAAAAAGTACTATTCCACCTTGTCGCCATATCTTGGTGCAAACGTTTGGTGGGCATTTTAGATCCCTCTGAATATCCTCCAGGCGTGTTGTGGCCAATGGTGAGTGTTTGAAATTAGGGGTCGACCGATTATCGGCGCCGATATTAAGCATTTTTATGATTATCGGTATCGGTCATTTTCAAGGAGTCAGACCAATCAATGCAGAATTCACTCTCACTCCAAAAGCGCTTGATAACTGGAGCTGCTTCAGTGATCACGCATCAGTTGTCTCTCAAAGGTAAGGCAGCAGCAGACGTTGCTTAAGTTGCAATAGATCCCAATCCACTAACGTTACACTGAAGTTGCAAAACACCTCAATATTATCTATCTAACACGGACGGAATCGCGGAATTCAGTCATATAAATGGAATTTACTGTATGACGCGGAATGTCACGGAATTTGTCAAAATTTGTATGAATTAATCAAAAGTAGGTCTATCGGCATCGGCCTTGAAAAACACATATCGGTCGACCCCTATTTGAAATGGCTGATTATCTTCCTACAGTTCGCCAGAGCATCACTCACACTTCTCTGTTATAACAGGCCTTCGTGTACCACCAGTTGGAGAGAGTGTGCGAAGCACCCCAAACTCGACACACCCATCTCGTCCTTGGCTTTTTTCATGTTGCTTGCGTTGTCGCGCAAAATAACATGAACACGGGACTTGGAGATATTCCACTTCACAAGCATCCCCTCAATTGCTTCAGCTATGGACTTGCTGGTATGTGACCCACGAAACTCGCTAGCTTGCAGCACTGCACTTTGAAGAGTAAAAGATGACGGCGTCACTGTGTCCACCCAGTGTGCTGTCAAACTTCGTAAAGACAGCGGGGTCGCGTCGCAGCTCCAGATGTCGGTAGTAAAGCTGATTGATTGCACATCTTTTAGTTTACATGAAATGTGTTTACACACTGTCTCATATAGCTTAGGGAGCGCTGTTTCAGAGATGTATTTGCGACCAGGCAAACTGTACCAGGGCTCCAAATGTTCAATTAAGCGGCGAAATCCCACGTTTTCGACCACTGACAGTGGCTGGTCATCCAGAACAATAAACTCGATAATTTTGTCGGTTATCTTTATCGTTCATTTTCGTCTTGTGAAAACTTTTCTCTTCGTTTGAATGAAGCTTCCAAAGTTTGTCGAGTCTGGCACGGCTCATCCTTCTCTGCCCTAGCTTTTGTGTAACCATCGTGTTCTACGGGGTGACGCGTCTTCAAATGCTTTATTAAGTTACTCGTGTTAAAGTTGCTAATACTTGTGCCACCCCTCGAAATTGCAGTATGGCATATGAGACATGTCGCCGTTTTACTGGCTGGTTGGTCCAGTCTTAAATACTGCCAAACCGCGGACATACTGCTAGCACGTTTGTATTTCTTCTTCGCTGCTCTAAATAGTGGTTGCTTGTGGCAACACAGCACAACTTCCTGTGTTTGCATTCTGAGCAGTGAAGAAGAATTGATTTCCAATTTGCTGCGTTAAGCAAAGCTAGCGGGTGCATAACTAGGTCTTGTTTAAGAAAATGGTATCGGATCGGTACATGGGTTCAAGTACTCGCCGATACCAATGCCAGAATTTTTTGTGGTATCGGCAGAATTTTCGATACTAGTATCGGAATCGGAACAACCCTAATCTTGATTACTAGATAAGCTCTATTTGATGCATTTCCCAGTGTCGCATTCTCCTTTCTGAGAGGAAAGTACAAACTTAAGATACAGCTGCAAAAGCAGAAATATAAAAAGTCTACTCCATGCACATAAGTCACTCTAGCGGTGCCTCTTGTTTGTTGGTGTTAATGAGTTGCTCTGTTTGCTTCAGTCATTCTGTTGCCCTTGCCAGAGTAACTCATTTAAGTCGAGGGAGAAGAAGCTATGGGCCATGCAGTTGTTGTATTGGTGATGCTGGCACATCTAAAAATACGCCTCTGACACTTGACTGTGTTCCCACTTTGCACTGTCACGGCTGAACTGTAACCGTGACACAGAGCCAGAAATAGTCTGAAGAAGACTGTGAAGCCCAGAGAACACGGCTTGAGTCATGAAATCCACTCAGAAAGAGGAAAAGCTAATCCTAGAGGCTCCATGTCCACTCAAGCTGTTTTGGAAGAGACCGCAAGGATCCAGTAGTTGAGGCGCTTCTTCAAACAACTGTTATTTTCCGCAAAACGTTCCATTACAAAAAAAAAACTGAACTGGATGACGCTTGACCAGTGTAGTCTGATTCCAAATGAGCCAGTTCTTTTTTTTTTATGAATTCAACAAATGCAGCGCTTACCAGTGTAGTCCAATTCCTGAACAAATGACTCTTTTGAATTGGTTCTTTTTAGTGAATCAAAAACACACATCGCATGTGGTCTGAATCCAAAGCAAATAGCTATTTTGAGTAGATTCTTTTTGGTGAATCAAAAACATAACAACATGACAGGTGGTGTCCAGTTCCCAAACAAATCACTTGTTTGGGTCCATTGCTTTTAGTGAATCAGAAACATATGGCACAAACAGTGTAGTTCTGATTCCTGAGCAAATAACTATTTTGAGTCAAACTTTTTAGTGAATCACATCCAAAGTAGTCTGATTCCTGAACTATTGACTCTTATGAGCTGTTTTTAGTGAATCAGAAATAAAGAGTTTATGTCTTACTGTGTAATCTTGTACTTACTCTTGTTGTTCATATTATATTATTAATATTATTCATTTAACATGTAGTTAAAACAGACAATATGACAATGCTGCTTCTAAGTCTTTAAAAAAAACTGTAAATAAATTTTTCAAGAATTGTTGCATATTTATATAGCAAAGTTATATCTCATCATTTGGCAATGGAGTTGCTTTTGTTGTTTTTTTTCCCAGATTTTTCTGTTGTGAAAGTTTGAAAGATTCAGTAATGGAAATGTTAAGGAACTGAAATCATAACAATGAAACAAAAGGAGGTTTATATACATATATATATATGTGATCCTGGACCACAAAACCAGTCATAAGGGTCAATTTTTTGAATTGCATTGATGTATGGTTCCATTGATGTATGGTTTATTATTAAGATCGGACAATATTTGGCCGAGATACAACTATTTGAATATCTGGAATCTGACAGTGCAAAAAAATCTAAATACTGAGAAAATCGCCTTTAAAGTTGTCCAAATTAAGTTATTAGCAATGCATATTACTAATCAAAAATTAAGTTTTGATATATTTACAGTAGGAAATTTACTAAATATCTTCATGGAACATGATCTTTACTTAATATCCTAATGATTTTTGGCATAAAAGAAAAATCAATCATTTTGACCCATACCGTGTTTTTTTGGCTATTGCTAAAAATATACCCCAGTGACTTAAGACTGGTTTTGTGGTCCAGGGTCACGTATATAATCTTTAATTAGATTTCCTTTCCTGCACCTATTTCATTGTTCATCTGTCAGATCATAGGGGCATTTTATGCATCATATTCCAAAAAAAGCATCTTTAATACTGGTTTCTTAAATATCCATGATTCACTGGCTGTGCATCTGCAGCATACAGTTTTACCACCTTAACAGCTGTTTTGTTTCAAAGGTAAATATAAAAGCTCGTTGGAGAATGCATGATTGCCTTTCATAAATGTTAATTGAATACATCTGTGTAGTTTGCTCGGCCCATGAGCTGTTGTGTTTTGCATGCATAACATCATGGCTCGGCCACTGGGTAAAAGTGCTAAACCACAAAACTCCACCTTAGCGTTAGTCCTTTTGTCATTTGCACAATGTATTTTTGTATTGCATGAAAGCTGGTAGAACCTTTTTTTTATTATGTGACAAATGTGGAAGTTCAATACTTACTGTGTAATGCTGTAGCTGCACTTCTGAACGGAAGCGTAAAGAAACGTAAGCGTTGTAAGCCTAGAGGCTTGTATAAGGGCACAAAGGTCAGCTGTGAAACAGAAAGCCGTCTCCACTGTACGTCTTTGACACTGACACTGTATAGTTACATTCAATACCTCAGAGGCTTTGAGCAGAGCACGGGTTTGGTGAAAAATGATCATTATCAAGTCCTCTCTGGCCTACAATATCTGTTTCGAAAGACAAATCTTGTCAATGCCACTCCCTCTTCTTCCTTTGGAAGTGTGTCTCTGCCCTGAGGTCTTGAAATGCTCCTTTCTCTTTTTCTGGTCAGATTTGTCTCGTAATCCATCTGTTCATCTGTGTCGCTTTGTAGAGGTTTACTAATGAGGACCACCTGGCTGTCCATAAACACAAACATGAAATGACGCTGAAGTTTGGACCCGCTAGAACTGACTCAGTCATCATTGCAGGTACTTTGCACGCAGACAGTGTGAATGCACAGTGCACAGTTATCAAAAATATTCTTTTTATATATAATTATATACACATGTCAGTCAATGTGTGTGTGCGTGTGTGTGTGTATGTATGTATATATACATACATATAATTTAATTATATCATATAATATTAATGTATTAATTAAAAATTATTATTTATAAATTATTTATAAATCACATTATCCCTTACATAACATATATATAACTAATAGTATAATTAATTGTGCTATATATTATTATTATTATTATTTTATATTAAATTATAACATATAATTTATATTTTATATATAATATATATTAGTGCTGTCAAACGATTAATCGCATCCAAAATAAAAGTTTTTGTTTACATAATATATGTATGTGTACTGTGTATATTTATTACGTATATATAAATACACACACATACAGTATATTTTTTAATATTTACATATATATATACATTTATATATTCATATTTTATATTATATATAAATATGTTTAATATATAAATAACACATTTTCTTAAATATATACAGGCATGTGTGTGTATTTATATATACACAGTATACACACATATATTATGTAAACAAAAACTTATTTTGGATGCGATTAATCTCGATTAATTGTTTGACAGCACTAATACATATTATATAATTTTTTATATAAAACATTTAAAAAGTTAGGGTTAAAATATGTGTGTGTTTTAATGATGTAATTATTATGTAACTTGATTTATTATTAAATTATAGAAATAGTGAATTAATTTTTATATGTATAAAATAAATACTCTAGTGATTATTAATTTGTCTTTGGTTGGTGCATGTTTCTACCATCCATCCCATGTTTATGTACATGTTTTTTGTCACTTCTTTTGTGGTTAATGGTAACTTGGAATGCTTGTTTTAATGGCACTGACAAAACAAATAGTACAGAGATTTAACAATGTAATTCGATATCATTACTTTATAGCTGTAGAGTGAAGCTAAGTCCCCTTAAGCTAGAAATTTTAAGGGGGGAAATTCACAACGTGCTGTTTTTTTTTTGTCACATTAAACCCTTGGGAAAAAACACAAATGTAATAACAACCTTGAACTCTCCCAGATTTATCATGTTAAATCGCAAGCAGATTTGGTTAGTACTGGTACATACAGCCGTTTAGCTGCGTGACAGAGTTTATACTGTCCTTGAGGCCGTCTTGCATAAGGAAACAATGAGATCTCTGTTTCTCGCTCTGTACTCCAGACCAGACGCCGACTCCCACTCGTTTCCTGAAAAACTGTGAAGAGGTGGGCCTGTTCAATGAGCTGGCCAGCTCGTTCGAGCAGGAGTTCCCTAAGGCCCAGGAAGATGAGGACAAGAGGGCCAAGAACCCGGTGAGCTATGGGACTGGGTGGAGGGATTCAGTCATACTGTCAGACGTGCTCCAAACATGAGGAGCTCGGCTGCCTGCTGCCAAAAACTCAGATTTATGGACTGCAGAGTTCCCTATCAGTTCTCATGTGTAACACCGTCTCGCCTCACTCTCTCCTTCTCTGTCTGTCGCGTTCTTCATCTGTCTTTCTTTTTTCCATGCAGTTGCCTGCTCCTAATTCAGGAGCACTTGACATGAGTTTGCAGACGCCTTCAGACATTAAGGTGAAGGAGGAGGACCCCGTGGAGGTGGACTCTTCTCCGCCTGCCAGCCCTGACTCCATCTCCAGCATGTCAGACAGCAGCAAAGAGCCCGTCAGCAGAGGAAAGGTACATGCTTTATGCAAATCAAACTTGCTAGAGCAAAACCAAAAGCACAAAGTCCCAAAATCTGAAACCACATTGGAAATCTGCAATTCAAAGCCTGATTTAAACCTAGAATGTTAGGATTTTGAAACACGTAAAATGAACATTTAAGATTATGACATTGATCATGTGTATTTTTGTACAGACAGTCAGATGTTCTTCCACTGAAGCACAAGATCCTCTTTAGATCATTCTCAAATCATGGAGGATATGATAATCAGGTTTTACACAAATTTGTAGAGTTCATGCAGTTTGAGTTCTGCAAAAGGAGGACCAATCACATACAAAGACATTATGACATTTATATAAACTTTTAGATTGAACATTTCACTTGTATTGAAAATATAATTTGTAATAACAAATAATTGAAAAACAAGTTAAAATAATTTCATTTAATAATTTTTAACTAAGTATGCAAATAATGAATGATAATTTAAATGAATTAAAATGCTAAATTTAAGCATTATCACTAGTAGTCTGAAACGTTTTGTAGAATACTTAGAATATAAAATAGTTTGTAGTAATGTATGCTAGCACACATTTGGCATTCATGTGGCCACTATAGAGACATAATTTCACTAAACTGTGTATTTAACAGTAACTGAACTAAACAAATGTCTAGTTGACCGAGTCATGACTGGATGACATTGCTTTTGGACGCAAACAGTGTTGCTTTTTGAATTATTTTGTGCTTAGCTGGCTGATTAACTTTTTTACAGGATTCTCCTCCAAAGCCTGCCGTCAGTTTGGCTCCCACCCCTGCCATAGTGCGTCCTGGCTATCTCCCACTGCACCTGGGTTATGACGGCCTGCAGCCCACCATGCCCTCCCCTACCTCTGTCATCACACACACCCCACCATCCAACCGCACACTGGGGTAAGAGCACAACCCCGTGTTTTTGGCCGTCAGCTTATTCTGTGTGACTCATTTCTATATGACTCACTGTGCTGCTATAAGTTGATTTGGTAGTAATGCTTAGGAAACTGTGGGCAGCTGGCTCATTTATGCTGTGCTTGACGTTCCATGAATGTTTGGTCAGATAGTGGACAGGAAGAGAGCAGAACTTCAGTCTGTGTATTGCTTTCTGCTCTCGCTGCTTGTGCAAACTGGGCATTTCTCTCCTTCTGTTTTAGATCTCCCACAGTGCCGTACCCAATGATGATGCTTCCCAATGGTCAAACATTTCCTGTGCTTCCAGGTCCTATGCAGATGCCCTCTGTAATATCTGTAAGTTTGAAGTGTATTTCTGAGTATTGGAATCTAAATATGTGGAGTATAAAGAGATGGCCCACTCAAAGGAAAAGGAATGGGAGAGTTGGTGACACTTGCCTTTTTGTTTACTGTAAAACTGGTTTTCATAATAGGGTCTGCAAGATCTGTGGAAAATTCATTGTAATTAAAACTGAAAGTATTAAAATCATTTTTTACTTAAAGCTGAAATAAAGTAAAATATAAATATTATGTGAAAAAAACCTGTTGCCTTGAAACTGAAATAAAATACGTTTTAGTTAAAGTACTAAGATGGCTAAACAGAATATAACATTAAATAGAACTAGCAAAATGACAAAGGACATTACAAATTTACTAAAACTTAAAACTAAAATTTAAATGAAAACTGGACATTTAAAAATAAATGCAACATTTATTAATCAAGTCAAGTCAAGTCAAGTTTGCTTTATTGTCAATTCTTCCACATGTACAGCACATACACACAGAGAATTGAAATTGCGTTACTCTCAGACCCTTGGTGCATACAGATAACACTAACAGTAGAACATAAATACAGATAGATACAGATTAAATATAAAATACAACTATACAAATATACAAATAAGATAAAATGTAAAAAAATATATAAAGCAGCACAAGGCACATGGCAGATAGAGTGCAAACCAGTGAAGTAACAACAGTGCAGATATATGATTTGTAGTGCAAAAGAGCTTATTTAGACTGATTAAAGTGACAGTGTGTGTGTGTATTTGGGAGAGGGGAGTGGGAGAGTCCGTCAGGGTCAGAGTTCAGTGGTGCGTGGGGCAAAAGGGGAGGGGGGGCAAGGTCGGGAGGGAGTTCAGCTTCCGGACAGCCTGATGGATGAA